GCCATCCTCGTGACTTCGAATGATCCAGCGGAGATAAGCATCATCCGCAAAGACAATCAAATATTCATGGAGCCATGTGTGGGAGTATCGTGCCAATAGGTTAACCATCAGCAAATGCATAACAGGGACCATAGCAAGGGGGGGCTGCTTTCGAGCCCTGTTAAATGCCTCGGGTGGCGATTAAATGGCCAACCAAGTCCTGAAAAGGAATATAGTACTGATTGAGCGCAAGCCAGGCATGAATCATGGTGAGGACGTCAGGGAGCAGGGACAATATGGCTAGGGCTCTGTGAACAACATTGCGGCTGATTGTGTCAAATGCCTTTTCCATGTCCAATGAAATCTGCAATCCACCAATCAACGTGTGACGATCTAGATTTTGTCTGGTCTGTTGGCATGCCTCACGAACAGCTCGACAGTGAATTGAAGTCAGGAGTAAACAATCGGCCGTGCTACGTCCAGGCAAGTAGGCATACAATGGCAATTGTCAAAGTTGTGGATAAGCTGAATCCATGACCCTTTGGATGAGAATACCTGATACCACCTTTTTCATTGGGTGTTAAAGACAGATTGGTCGAAGGGCTTCATACAAGCCTTGCCTGATTTAGCCAGGAGATGAAGCCACCCTGCGGACCAGTGTTCAGGTGGCAATGGATTCTACCTGCAACAATGGTCATGAAGGGACTGGTACAGGAGAGGAGTCAAGTCATGGGCAATGGCTTTCCAAACAATGGCAGGGAATCCATTGGGTGCCAGGGCTTTAGTAGCCGGTAGTTTACAAAAGCCATCAAGCAGTTCAGACTCAGTGAATGGCAGTGCCTGCAGTGCAGGTCGATGTGGTGGGGTCAGATCTGAGTCACTAAACAAAACATCAAAATATTCAATAATTTTCGTGAGTTCCTGGCCTGGTGGGAGTGGATGACCCTTGTCATCATAGAATTGAATCCTATGAAACGGATGTTTGGGGCTCAATTGTCTGATTCTTCTATGCCAGTCGAATGCTCTATTCGCGAGGGCAAGATCCACACTATCCTGAAGGAAGCGTTCAAGTCGTTGACGCTTGTGTAGCCGGCTCATTTTCTTGATCTCGCGATGTATGGTGGTATACTGATTAAAGTGATGCCAAAAGTGGAACAAATTCTTCAGATTCGCACTCTGCCAAGGCTTAGCCAGTCGTCGTGCCTGCCACATGCGGGAGGAGATGGATCGAAAGGCATTCGAATCAGGTCTGGATCGGGGTTCACGTGGAAACCATTGAATACACAATGCACGCAATTGAGTCTCAAATGGCAAATTCGTTAGTGGCAGGTGATCCAACTTAGAATTCATATGGGTGTAATTACGAACAAGGTCACATGCAGCAATGCAAAATTGTTGCCACAGCGGTGTTTGGGCCAGAGAGGTCTGTCGAAATTGGAACCTATTAATGGGATCGGCAGCACTCTTCATGGTCCTAGAGGGTGCCATTTAGGTATAGACAAATTCCCCGGTTGATGATGTGGCCCAGTGATACCAAAATTCCTATCAAAATCTTGAATGAGATGTGAATCCATGGGTGTTCGACGTTGATTACGACGGATCAATATGAAATCAATCCGAGTGGCATGATCTCCATGTACAAAGGTTGGCTTCCATTTGCCGGCTGTGGGCAATGCAAGAAGCTGCAAATCTTGGATCATCTGTTGAAAGATATCTTTGTCCGTTTGACTAGCTTTCTCAAATTTCGGGTCAAAGGTCTGGACGAATGGAGGATGCTGCTGAAGAGGAGAGTTGAAGTCTCCAGCAATGACCAAAAAAATGTGTGTATGGGATATGTTTGTCCTCCAAAGCGCTGCTGGGCGAGTACACAATATCTGAACCCCCCGTCCTGGATTCCAGTTGTGCTGGTAGATGGCCAGGATATCAAAGGTTTGATGCATGTGAAGTCGAACCTGAAGACAGCGGTTGTTGTGGACATGTTGTGACTCGATTTGATCTGTGATCTAATCATGATGAACACGGATGCATTACGATCATGGCTATGGACAAAGTGCCAATATCTATTGGTCCATTCTCCACTGAATGCCCATCCCATTTCCTGAATGATGAAGCAATCGTATTGATTGGCAGTGCACCAAGTCTGAAATTCTTCATAAGGAAGTGAGCGCGAGGCGTTCCAAGACAGGATCTGCAAGAAAGGGGCTAATTCCTGTGAGACGGACACTAGATCTATCACATTTAGAGGAAGTGGAGGACTGTCGGTGTTGCCAGGCCTGTCTAAATCTCCAAGGAATATCTTTGGGATAAATCGTCTGGTCTTTTTTATAGGAGGCTGCACCCTCAGCAAGACTACGAAAGCATGCTCTTTGAAAAACTCTTTTCACTCTTTTGATGCGTGATGTGGACAGTACTAGACCGAGGCCCGCCTTAGCCCAAGCCTCATGTGGCTTCGCGGCCATTGCTAGGAAGCGGATCGGAGATAGGCCGCTCTCGACCCCTTGTGAGGCCAAGGAATCTACCCTCACGCCCGATGCCACCTGCCTATCACCAAAGTGAAATCTATGCAAAGGGGCACCGCCCGGACGTGAGACCGGGAATTCCAGAAGAATTCGAACGAAAAGTACAAGGCCTAGAGTCTAGAGATCTCATGTAAAAAGCAGCGGGGTCGAAGGAACGAAATTACAGGCCCCCGGGAGCTAACTACACGCGGCCGTCTGAGCTGGAGTGGTGCTTGCGAAGGCCCCCAAGCAAGCTCAGGAAGATATTTCCCCAACAAAAATTGATATGACAAGCAAATCTCCAGTTGGAAACATATCAATTGTCACACTGATAAGAACAAATACTACACTTGATCATTATATATTGGCATTATCTATTATTTTTTATATAAATTATATTGATATATTAATATATATATATATGCATTATTTAATAAATATATACATTTTATTTATACGAATATTATAAATAGATCTAATATATATATATGGGTATAATTAGAATTCCCTAATATAGATCATTTTAGATTGCAATGAAAATCATTTAAACCCTATGGATTAAAATATTAATTTAAATCTTGGGAATTAAATCGATAAATTATTTAATTTAAATTCCTAATATAAATATATTTGCACGGTAGCGCTCTATTTTCTTGCCAATTTATTGTAAAGGGACGGTTGTCACGATTAAAATTATCCTATTTGTGGTAAACCTATTTTAAGGTATTAGCCGCCACTAAATTCATTAAGCTTTATTACTTACATAGTAGGTTATAGTTAAATAGAATACATAACAAGGTTTCATTTTTACACTAATATTTCTTTAATTCATATTTTCCTTCAAAAAAAACGACCAAAATCCTCAATTCATCTAGACATTTACACAACTCAACCGTCAAAATGCTTAACAACCATCATAACCTTTATAATTCAATATAGCCTCAGATTCTAATCTAATAAATTCAATAATATCATTAAGAATTACCATCGAATTACATAAAAAAATAAATTCATTTCGAATATTAATTAATAATTACCACTAATTCTATTTAATCTTCCATTATTATATTTTCTAGTATCTTCTATAATATTTTTATAAATTAATAAATTTCTCCATTTAAAAACTTTTATACCTTAATATTTAAAATATCGGACTTCAATTCTCCACTTCCACGATAATAGAATTCGAATCCTACTTATAACCATATTTAGCGAATTACGATAAATCTTTATCAAAATAAAACGATAATATATGAGCCACGGTCAAAATCAATTATTTATGCTAAGGATTTTTTTTATCGTTATCGTTTTTGGGGGAGACCTTATCGGTTTTCAGCTTTTTGTTCAGTCAGATGCTTTTGGCATTCGCATTTACATTGTGGATGCATGAAGCGGAGCTACCTATTCGCTAAAATCAGAAGCAATGGATGACGAACTTATTCACAACTCGCTTATCAGCGGCGGACAAAAGCATTGCAATTTCGAGTGGGTTTGCGAAATTTGGCGTACCTATCCCTATCTTAATCTTTATCGGCCTTCTGTTTGCTAGGATATAAAATACTAACACGTAAGTTCTCAAGAAGAAAGGCTAAATCAATGTCTTCGATAGGGAATTTAGCTATTTCGTCAGTAGACTCTAGGCAAATGGCTATAAAAGCTAAAAAACATATCCAAATGGTTATCGACGAATTATCGATTTCGTTATCGGAGTAATGGCCACATAGAATCCGGATTTTTCAATAAAAGGCTACAGATTAGAAAAAAAACAACATAACAATAAAAATATTAATTCCATATCATATGGCTAAAGCCACCCACTAGGATACTATCAATAGGGGATTTCATTTAACATGCAACAAATATCGCAAGGATCTATCAAAAATAATAATAAATACCATCATACATAAGTTATCGATTTTAGGGAAGATCTTATCGATTTCCATTACATCCTTATCCTAAACCATTCCCATCGACCTCTCCTAATTAAAATAATTTACACTTATTTTGACCCCACCTCATATATATATTTTTTTTTCAATTTTTAAATTTATAATTAAATTTAACAATTTCCGGTAAATCTATAATAATAATAATATTAATAAATAACAATAACAATAATAAAAACAATTGCTATAATAATAATAATAACAACAATTATAATCAATAACAATATATAAATAACGACAATAATACTAATAATAACAATAAAAATAATAACTATTATTGCAATAATAACATTAATAATTAGGGGATCCAAGCCCTTAGATTATATATACACCTTTTAATTCATACCCCATAGATCGAGGCATAGATCGTATATGGGTTTAGATGTACAATCCAAGCCTTATGTTTCTCGCCGTAGCCATATTTTGTAGTATTATTAAATTTCAATCACCATCACCAAATCACAATAATAAACACTCCTGAACCTCAACAACAAATCCACATCCACATCGCAATAAACATTCCTCCTCAACGACAAATACCACAATACAAAGAAGCGTTTATATGTAAAATATATTCTTTTGAAGTCATTTGCGAGGAGATTCCAGGCCCATCAGGTCGTCAATGGCATTGACCAGCCCTCCAACCTCAGTGACAGATTTTCGTTCCTTGCAATCCTAAGTAATACCATGCCACTATTGATCCTACCGGGTCAGGCAGGTGTTGGACAGAAAGAACAGGAATTGCTTCAGTATTTTGGATGCACATGGACCGTGCCAAACACACCATGAGTTTTGAAACCAAGGGATGCAAATGGGTATAACCTCCTGAGGGACTGGCTAGCTTGTGCTTCAGCCAAAAGGGACAATGCTCCAACACTTGCGCCTGGCGTTGCGGGCTGCCACCCGCTTGGTGCAGTTAAGTTTTGGAAGTAACAGATTGCTTCTCTTATTCCAACCCAGTTGAGATTTATTCATTTCATATCATTTCATGATTGCTTCTCTTTATTCTGGAAGTGAACAAAATACTTCAAACATTCGTCATGGAGTGTAATTTGTGTAGAAGTGATTGACAGCACGAAAAGACGGTTAGTTACTTGGCCAAGCTTTGGATCCTTTGAAACTGAAAGCAACACAGCGACAAATCGCCATGTCTTCAGAGCTGAAGACACGCCTGTGTCGTTCCCCATGTAGGAGGTCATGGGGATGGGGTTGGGCAAAGCTGGTGGTGGGGCTGAGGCGGGCTGGGATGAATATCCAGGATATCCATGCATCACCACCCCGTGCGGAGCTTGAACGATTGGCTGCTGTAGCTGTGGCTGTGTCACTTGCATCACTTGTGTGTAGCTAGGGATGGGTTGAGATATAATGTGTGGTGGATGGATAGCTGAGACCACTGGTGTCTGCGACACCACGGGGACCAGCTGTCCGCTCGTGATGGGGGCACTTATATGGGTTGCGTGAAGGATCTTCCGGGGTGAAATCACCACCGGGGCCAAAGTCGTTGCAACCGCACGTGGTGACGACCTCGGTTTCCGGCTGTCATTGTGGTGAACATTCACAATGCGCTTGCTCCGCTAAGAAGGTCAAGTTACAGAAACAAGCTCCAAGAAATATGTACTTTCCTGTCACTAGGCTTTCTCGAAGAAAAACACAATACAGTGTCAAATATCATTAACTATGTACAAACTCCGAAACTCTGATGGCTTGCGCTCAGGCGAATTATTGGCTCGCCAAGAAGCGTTTGGCTTGAAACAGCCTCACAGGTGCTGGATACCGTAGTCAATGCCACTTAGGATCAATCATAATTATTCTATGATTGTTTGTAGGAAAGCAGCCACTTCTTTGTACCATTCTTGGAATACAATCAATTCGAAAGGAACAGTGCTTGTCTTCGTGCAGCACTCATGACCAGCATGCAAGGCGCAGCCAGCATGAACTGCACTGCACTCCTAAAGTCAAGGAGCAGCATCGACATGCCCCTAGTACTTTGAGTGGTATAGGTCCATCTTGCTATAACAAGTCATAATGGTCGAAACATGCTTGACAAACACCATGCCCTCCCGCCTGAAAATGTATTGGGCTCGCTGCACGTCGCACCGAGCTCGCTGGTTGAGGCACTGTCACAGGACTCACTGCCCGTCGTACTGGACTCTTTCGCCGGATGACGGAACCAGTAGTCCTCAGGAAGGGCAGGAAGAGAGCCCCTCAGCCTCTCGCAAGGACGCTACTAGGGGCTCCTGGCATCGCTACTAGGGGCATTCTTCCTTCTAGGAACAAGAAGCTACTGGTGGCTCCAAGAAATGAATGATCCAACGAACTTCAAAGCAGTCTCCACAGATGCCAAAGCTGCTTCCGAACAGCTCTGAACATATCACTGCTGCTTTTCAGTTGACTCCCTGGTCATCCCTGGTCACAAGGCCATTAAGATCAACTAATTGAGGCATAACAGCTGCCACACCAGCTCCAACCAGGACCATCAAAACACCTAGACAAGCTAATGAGATCCCCCCCCGCTGCCAGGGTCCCACCATGTTCCATCACACCGTCTGCTGTCAAGCAGCTCCCCCAAACGATGCCGTTCACTGCCTGCGGCCACTGCTAGCGAGGACTGCATGGCACCCCGTGGATGGAGGCTTCGCAGCCAAACATCACCTGGCGCTAGCGCGAGCGAGAGAGAGAGAGAGAGAGAGAGGGAGAGGGAGAGGGAGAGGGAGAGAACTAGTACATTGCTCCGTCGTTTTGTCCTTGCTGACCCTGTGATCTTGCACTTTGGCTGGAAGGAAGGCGGCGGGCTAGCACCGGTCCGAAACAACATGTACTCCATCATGAGAGCTTTGCTGAACATTCGTGTGCGGATCCCAGGCGCCACATGGTGTCGATGGAAGCGACGGGCGTAGGCCTTGCTGACTGACACGCACCCCATCAGTGCCCTGCCTCGGTCATCGTCAAGCTTGTCTGATAGGGCGCAACAAACCCACTGGAGCTCACCCACACTTCTTACATCCTCTTGCTATAGAACCAGAATATGAGACGACAAAACCGTCAAGTGAGCGGCGACTGCAGAAAGGCACTTGATTTGATGATGCTTCCCACATCTTGGAATGTGCATTTTCGCTATTGCAGTTGTTCCCTGTTCAACGTGTGAGCACAGAAATGTTCGAATCATGTAGTCATGTAATGCCATGTAGTATAATATAGTGCGCAAGTTAAGCCCATTCCATCCAATCCGCTCAGTACTGAGTTCTGTGACAAGCCCAGAGTCCTTTGCCTCAGAGCAGGATGATGACAGCCCTGGAAGGTGGGTCTAAAGATGTCTTGGAAGCTAATGTTGGAATATGTTCGTTGAATTGTACCAGATTTTAACCTAGGTGCACGAAGAATGATCCCCATTGATTCTCTATGTGCCCCATCATGCTCATGCAGCCACATGATTCTCTATGGTCACCGTGGGTCTTGGACGGCACAGCTTCTTTTCAACGGCCGACCACTTCGCACTTCGGTCGACCATCCACGCTCAACGGACGGGTCCAGCAACGGCCCTCCCAACGAAATGCCCAGCCACAAAGGGGCTCTCGGCGGCTGCGCAAGATCCTTCTCCACGGTGACTTTCACCCGCAACAAGCCAATGATGCCTGGCTAGGAATGCATGCGCTCACGAGCACCCACCAGGATGTGCTAGGCCCCTAGCCCTAGGCATCCAGTTATGCTTTTCTGCGTTGTCATCCTGTTGTGAGTTGGGACCACAGCTGGATTGCCCATCAGGACCAGTATGTATCTTGCAACTCGTGACGCGGCGAGGTCCCTGCATCGCAACCTGTAGCCGTTCTAGGTGGCTTATGTGGCCGTTGCGGGCCGTTGTTTGGAGGACGCGTTGAAAGGCACACATTGGAAGTCGAAAGAATCTATATCAATATGATAACAAGCTTCAGTCCACGAATCGACCACCCTTCTCACACGTCCTTGAACTGTTCGTAGATCAGTACCGACCTGCGACCGTCCCCTGGGTCCACGGGCCGTGGCCCTCGCTGCACATCGTCAAATCAGAGTTGAAGCCAAAAGGGAAGAACTGGTGGCACCTGCGGCGTTCGCTGAAAGCAACATCAAACAACCAAGGCACTCTCCTTACTAATAGAGACAGCCGACTTCCTTGCTTACACCGTGTCGTTGTCACTCAACAAATCGCCCCGTCCGTCTCCTCGCCCCCCACCTCATCGTGGCGGATCCTTCCAAGCTGGTGCCCTGCGGTGCTTCAGGATACGAGTTCTTCGGCCAGTCGGTCGGTGACTCCGTTGGTGTTCGTCACCCCCTCCGCGTCGCCGCATGGAGAAGACAAACTCTACTACGCAACTGTTCTCAGCATGCGCGCCTGATGCCGTAAATCCTCAAGGTAAGAAAGTAGCACTTTCCAAAGTCAGCCAGTACTCACCAGTGGTTCAATTGTTTCCCATTACAGTGTCGGTATGGGACTGTGGGATGAAGGGCATGTTTTAAGACTCTCGGCAGATGGTTTACTGTGCCTTAACAAGAAACTGAGATGATCACCATGACAACAACACTGACAACATTTTTCCAAGACCATGAGCAAGTTTTCCAAGTGCAACGAAATAACACCCGACCACCAACGACAGCAAACTCAAGTTTGAAGTGAAGACACACATCAAACAAATCGATGATCCTGCCAAAACTCGGTCATGAAAGCTGGCTGAGATAAACTGAGGTTTCAAAAGATTCAACCGCTTGTGCTTAGAATCAAAGAGTATTCCAAATGCTCCCATGGTGCCGGAACCAACTCCGGAACCTCTGCAGCCACATGGAAGGCGAGATCCTCTCCCGGGAAATAGTCAGTGATCTCCCCTTCCAGGTTCCACACCTGCATGCTCCAGCATGAAGAAACAAATCTAGACCACTAGCTCAACAAACTGTCCTGCCCCAGGTATTCCAAAAACTGCTGATACCGGCGGCGAGGGCCCATTACAAACACGGAAGTACAGTAGACTTGTAGACTGGTGAATCACTCAGCTCGTTTTGGCCGGCAGCAGTCCGTTGTGTAGGCTTCTAAAGATTTCACTTGTTCTTTGGGTTTGCTCTAGTTCCCTGAACATCTAGGAGCGTCCAGGACCTTGCTTAATTAAGTAGGCGTCTACTTAATTAAGTAAGGGAGCAGTGGGCACGGCTAAGCAGGCTCAAAAACGGTTGGAACATCGGCCACGTTTGCAAGTCCAACACAAAGGTCTTCCGTCCTGGGCCCCAAGCCGTTTGATATCCAGCTTCAAATGCACCTCCTGTCTGTAGGTCAGCATGTCGGCGCCTAAGATCCAGTTGGCACTTCAGAGCTCGACGGAGATTTGGACGGCGCGTCGATAACGAGCTTTCAATGGTTTTAAGCGAGTTTTCCGGCTGAAGGTTCTGACCATGGCAACCGCTGTGATCTTTTCACCTCCAGGATTTCTAAAATATCTTCTCGGCTGCTTGTCAACTTACCTCATCACTGACATGGTCTCTGTAGGGCATGATGGGATATATATATAGGTAGTGTGGCAACAGGACCACAATGTGGTCTTTGGTTTCCTTTGCTCTACATGTAGCATTGCCAGCTTGTGCGACCTTCTATCGCCTAATACTGATCTGACCTTCTATGCCTCCTATCAGTGGAGTCATTCACTTTCTGCAATGTTTAATAGAATAGACCATATTCTATTATATATAATGTTCAGTCCTGCCCATTAAAAAGTCTAAAAAGTGGGCCTCAGCATGATGGTCTAAACAAGTATAGCTATTCTGAGTCCAGCACCCAGACACGGCGCAAATGCAAGAAAAGCAGCGCCTGCGGCAAACTGGTTGTTGGCAGCGCAGGCAAACCTCTTTCTGTGTTTGAGCCTGTCTGCAACAGTGCTGCTTAGGCGTTGCATGCGATCTGACCGCCATTGCGGAATTATGAAAAACAGCATAGAACGACTGGGAGTGGGTACTGTCAGGTGCACTTTCTCACTTTCTGCCTGGTGGAGAGGTCAAGACCATGAAGACCACGGAAGCTTTGAATCAGGATCTTCAGCCTGCAAGGGTCTTCGGCATTGACAGATTGAGCGTCTTCAGCAGTGGAGGGTGTGATTTGATTGAAGGCGAATTAACCAGGAGTCTGCCGTAGAGATTCTTCAGGGTTTTTTCTGGATTGCTTTAATGACTACCTTAGCCGACACAAAAACACACGCTGGTCTAGTCTATCCATTTGATTCAGCACATTGATGCGTATTTTCTGCCTGTTCCCTACGTTGGATTGAGGGCTTGCTGGTGTCGGTAACGAACAGGCTCCTTTGTCACACATGATTCCCAAGAAGAATTGACTGCTGCTAAGGAAAAACAAGAATGACACCGCTGGGGAGCTGAGGTGTGGTCTCATCCCATAGATCCATTGTCTGACCGGAACAAAAGCATCACAGTCTGCTTTTTGCCCACCCTTGATACCTCTTGGGCGCTACATCTGCAGGATGCGGCGCTGTTCTTTTGGCACCTGCAGCTTTGGCGCATGTCACTCCACTAGCAGCTTTGTCTTGTTACCTGATGCTTGTTCAATGCTACATTAATTGTCTATTCTTGTACCTTCATTCACAACAAAAGGGTCGATTCCATCATAATGGGAATCGGACTGAGGAGTTGGTTCGATTACAAACAGCTTGGATCCACGTCTGGCCCGCGGCTTGGGCTCCCGTCTGGAAAGCGGCTCCAATCGTTTTGGCTCTTCCAAATAGCGCTGGTGTGGATGCTCTTGCCGAGCGACCTCAGGGTGGCAAAGGTCTGAGCAGACCTCAATCCGGACAGAATATGATTATTGAAGTGGCATCAAAAGGAACCAGCATTCGGTTGAGCATCCCTCTATTTCTGAAACGATATGATATGTATCATAAGGATGTTTGCACAGTTTGCAGCTTTTGACATCCAATTCTCTTGAAGCAAGCACAGACCGTAGCTACACATTGAGAGTGGCATGAGCAACCAAGTACTTTCACAAGCAGAACTGGGCCAGCTGCTCGTCGCTTCTGTGTGGCACTGACCTGTCCACTGGGCAAATTGTAGGCAGTCAAATTCTTGACACTGAATCACACCAGTTTAATTGCTGAGCCGCTGAAAAGCCGGATGCAAACAGCTTCGGCACTGCAAGTGAGTTGTTGAACCTTGCTTCCTTAATACATGCATAACCTAGTAGCATACCTCGCCTCCTGTTCCTTTCTTCTGCCTGCCCTAGCTGCAAGTGTTCGGTGTACAGAAGGACAAATTGACTTTCGACTAACTGCCTGCTGTTGATTGAATGTCCCACTGCTCTTAAGGCTTTTGGTAGCGCCCCTCCAGCCTCGATGCAAAGCACCGAGCCCTCCTGAAGTGAAGCTAAAAACCAAGGAAGCGCACGGAACGACTTAGAAGAGATGAGAAAAGGAAGCTGCTCATATCCGCTATCACTCTCAGCCATATCTGCCTGGGTAGGAATTGGTTGAATGCTTTGAATGTCCAGTGAAGATCGCCTAGCCTGCAACCTTGCTGAGACTCGTGTTGGAGGGGAAGGAGGGTCTACTATTCCAAACAAAACCACGTTGGTCAGCAAGTTAGAAAACAAAAAAGCAGCTCAGCCAACGAAGCATAGGTCATTTACGCCGCTCAGTGGCAGTCGGGTATCAAATAACTGTAGATGTCTGTGGGAAATGGTGCGATGAATCAAATCTATCCTAGTCACCCAAAGACATGGACACATCTCGAATTCTGTTTTTTCCTTTTTGGGGAAACACATGACTGACAAAACAAGCTTAGATAACCATCAAACCCCAAGTTTGTAGCATTCGCCTCTTCACTATCCAGCGCTGAATCTCTCCCGAACTCCAATGATCGCCAAATACCATCCTCCCAAAGCAGCGCCTCAGCACCTTCCAAGGGCAGTTCCCCTTCAAAGCCTTGGAGAAGCTGATGAAAGGATGATGGAGCCATGACAGGCTACCGCTGAGGAGGGGTCCAAATATGGAGGCGCTCATAGTTTTTCCATGTTTTTCCTAGTTTCCAATGCACCGCTGGACGAGCGGCCTTTAGACGACCATATATATATGTTCAGTTGTATGTGCATGGGGGGATCGCACTTCAATCACGATGCCATTATTCACAAATCGTCAATACAGGCGGCCTTGAAACACAGAGTGTTGGAAATTGTGCTACGGATTGTACTAGCATGGGGTAATTAGAGGTGCATGTCTTGTTGAAGAAACAATCCATTTCGCCTGCCAGGTTTTCTTCAGCTGGGAAAATGTTGGCATATGTTGGCAAACCGGGTTATGGGTGTCTGAACAAACAACTTTTCTTCAGCTCGCGGCCGGTGATCTCTGTCACCTCCCGGCTTTGACCATGGATCCGGCCGAGCCAAACGCCTCTCATTTCAGTTTAAGCCGGGATCTGGGAGTCGGTGCTGCCCCTTCTCAAGAGATCACCAGCTTCAATAATGGCCTCAGGGCGTGTGTGCAAGAACATGATGAACCAATCACAAAACACTTGCTTGCCCCATAGTGGCGAATATTGGTGAATCATTGCAGCATATTGCAGCAATATTTCTTTGAACATTAGAAGCAAATGATCTGTGAATGATGCTTCTCTAGTTTAGTAGCGCCCCAAATGGCTCTTCTGCCAGCCTTCTTCTAGTCTAGTGGAACAACAGGGAATGTTGTTACAAGGGGGGCTCACGTGGTTCGAGAGTGGTCCTCAAATATATTGTCAGTTGTAGGCAGAGTTGAACCTCAACACAAGACGCACCAGTTTTGATAACATACTCCACATCTCCACAATATGCTTGGCAATCACGACTGCTTTGCAAAGCGAACCAACAGTTGTTGAAGAGTTCATGGGAAAGGATGCCGATCTTGGGCCAAGTACCTTGAACTCAAGGCTTGAAGCGAAGAGATTGCTCCCATCACCGGCTTGGAGGGAGTTGAAGCAGCCATCACAACTCATCTTTCTTGCCAAGTCTCGTTCGGTTTGTTTTCAGCATACTATACCGTTATATACTATGGTTGGGACATACCGGCTTCCTTCAGCGTCACCATCACCAACCTTCAGACTGGGGTGCGGTCCATCCCCAGCAACGTATCCTGCTTTGGCCAAACCTCCTGAAATGTCTGCTCCAACGTTGATGGATCTTTGGCAAAGAAGAATGCCCCACAGAAGTGGTTTCTTGGCTGTTTGCAGTTCTACACATTGAAAACAATCAAGGATGCTCCCGGGGAGTAAGCGCTTCAGGGGCTGCTTCAAGCAACGTCCTTCTGGTAGACAGCTAAGACAATTGGCTCGATGGCCTCGTAGTCGAAGTCGACTATCTTTTTCCAAACCTGATTGGTCAAGGAATGGACAAACCTCACAAGCAACTGTAGGATCTGTAGGTTGTACAACCATGCAATACAGTTAAATATTAACCAGTTTTAAGCTCGTTAAACATGTTTTGGCTGTCACTTGTTAGTATTTGTGATATCTGTATATATATCTTGTGATCTGGTGTTTGGGTTGGGTGGGTCCGATTCAAGAAAAACAACTTTAAAAAAAAAGCAATTGAACCCGTGAGCAAAGTTCTGGAGTGGTTCACAGAAGCCCTTTGCTTTCCAGCCATCTAACAATTCAGTACTCAAAAATGATTTTCCCAACACCGCCCTACCCAAAAACTTGCATACAGGTTGGTTTACAGTCATGCCTACAAGACCTGGAAATGCACAAAGAACCTCTCCTAGAAGGACCTTAACCTGCAAAGATGAACTCTGACATCTAGGAACAGGAAGCTACTAGTAGGTCTTCGAAGCTTTCTAGTAACTAGAAGCTACTAGGTGGAGGCCATTACTACTAGTAACAAGAAGCTACTAGTAGGTTTTTGAAGCTTCTTGGTAAATATGTTAAGACTCGGAAGAGCCATCAGGCGCAGAGCGGGCGCTCGCCCTACCTGGGCGCTCCCTGCTGGGTCAGTGGAGTCATTCACCACGTGGGTCCGCGAGGAGAAACGCAGCTCGCCCTTGACCTCCACTGTGCAGTAGGAAGAACACCTGCATTCCACGAGCAAGGCGAGGGTGACATGGCGAGTGGGGCGATCATTGATTTGCAATCTGGTGAAAAGGCCTGTGGTCACAGGAATCGAAACTCGTGGTTCGGAACATATAGACTTCCTGAGGAAAATGCTTATGCAGTTGCCAAAGTATTGCTTGAGCTGGGTTATGTGCAAGTACAGTTTTGTACATGGATTCGATCCTTCTTCACTTGTGACTGCTTTATTTTTGTGGAAGAACGGGACCTCACAGGTGCCTAGACAGGCCAAGCTCGAAGCTCGACAAAACGGAAGGCATGCAGCTATGATTTCAGATTGAGATCAAGGTCTTTGAAGGACAATTCATCACCACAAGGGTTGTCTGCAACCGCATTGATGAACCAACATAGCCAGTTTTTGGGAAGCAAGCCTTTATGAACCCTGAAGACAAAGTGTACTCATTTGGCTCAGCCTGACCTTTCAAATAGGTTTTTGGCACCCAGCACTGCGATGGACAGCTGCCACACCTGCGAGACAAACGAATTAATCTGAAGTATTTCTCGGAGGGATGATGGGTTGGGCTCAATCTAAAACTCCACAGAGCTGCTGAAGGGCAGCTCAACCAAACGATAACTCTAAGGCATGAGGAAAGACACAGGACTGCAAAGACCAAATTGCTTGCTTGCTTGCACCGAATAACCAAAGAATCCTCACATCTGACTTTCACTGAATCAAGCATCCAATATCATCTCCTCTACAGTTCCAACCCAATCGATCACATCCAAACACCACCGTCTGTGCACCGTTCACGGTCTTCACCTCCCCCAGCCGTCGCGGTGCAGAGGTCGAGGTCTCCCTGAGCGCGTGGTCTTCGCTCGTTTGGGCGAAATCGGAGGAATCAAACGTTACGGTGAGCGATCGTGAGCGTCGGCAACGGTGATCGTAGCAGGTTACCTTTAGTAGTTTGGGCACAGGGCTAAAAAAGTAAGGCTGCAAGCTGAAAGTCGAAGCCATGGCTGGTGTGCTCTTGTGCGCTCCGCTGTAGCTTCGGCTTTCGGTGTCAGTAATTATGTGTCTTGAGAGGAAAAAACAGCGCTCCCAGTCTATTGCCCAATCCATCACGATCCAATGTTTGAAAAGATCATAGGTGCATCTTGTAGGCACGGCCAGGCACTGCCTGTTAGACATGTCATGCCACCCATCCAACCTTCTCAATTATCTACAGTAGTTGCTGCATGGTATTGCTACTTCTAGTGGGCCTGGGAGTTGTGCCACACACGAGTGCCGATTTAACTTAATTACTTTAGCGGAAACCTCCGGCAACAGCTTCAAGTGAGATTTTGTTATTCGGATGCCAAACTTAAAACACGAAGTGCAACCAACAAAACACTCACGTATTGAGTGGCAAAAACATGTGCCTCTGCTCAGCATCCTCTTGATGCCTCCGCTTCTCTTCTTTCTTCTCCAGCTTGACTTTGGCTGGACTGCTCCTTCAAACCAACAAGCCCCGCCTGAAAAATGGCGCCGAGTACCGTACGGCAGTACGTTCGACTATGATATAATATATATATATATACTGTATATATATATATATATTTGTTATGATTCGTTTGCAATTTTGGTTCCGATGACCCTGCCGCCTCAGGGCCAACTGACCGGAGTGACTGACTAGCTCACAGCTCTTTCGAAATGGACTGCCGCCACCAGCAGTCCTAGGCTTTGGACTGGGCTCCTCCTTTGGAAGCTCCAGCCTGCGCGGTTCCCGAGTGTGCCAGTCAGGAACCACTAGCAAAATCATTGCAATGCTTCAAATGAACTGTTCTTTGAGGTTGGTGTTTTTTCCTGGTTTCCAAGGCGGGTGCATGTCACATGTCGCATGTCACATGTCTCATTACAAGTGTCTATATGGTGCTGCCAGCATCTTGACGAGAGTCCTTGTATAAATATATTAAAAGCATTGATCACAAGGCCCTTCAAAGTGTCGGTCAACGTCAGCTTTCCAAGCCTACAGAGAGCCTATCCGCGTTTCTCGTTTCGAGGATCTTGTTCAAGCCGGTAATGTTTCAAGCCATGAAATAGAACAAGCCCATGTCCACAAGACTTGGCAGGTTGAGCAGCTGGCTCAGCCGTGTCGAAGAAGGTCTCATTCACTTCGGGTTCATCTTGTGCCGCGTGTGGCACCGGAGGTGGCAGAAACTCCTGCCATGCACCGCGGCACTTGGGTGCTAAGAAAAATCGGCCATGTAACTGTAACTCCCAAAGATTGCAACCAGCCAGGTTTGAATTGAAGGAATTGACATGCTCTGACGCTGTGACACTTTTCTTTGCTGAGTAGAGGAGGTATGACTCCTTCCTCTCTCAGGCCCAGGGCTTCAAGCTACTAATGTTACTATATAAACAAGCCAACATCACACCACTACCTACAGGCTTTCCAAGAAGCAAACAGGCCAACCTTAGTGTTACCTGCTGCAACTACAGTACTCAGTACGCGTCATATGCCTCGCCACCTTTGGCCTCAACATTCGCATGGCCATTGCAGTTTGAAGAAAACACAGAAGTCCCAGTGGGAGGTGCTCTATGGGGTCCACTTCAGCAAAGGATGACTTATCCGCCGACAGTCACAGCCTGCCGCTGCGGAGAATCCACTGTGATGCGTAAGCGGAGGAGGGTCTGGCAACATGTGTTGGCGGGTGCTCGTCTTCTTCAGCAGAAGAGCATTGTTGTGCCCTGTGACATCTTTGTCTGCATTGTTTGCCCCTCGGAAAACACTCAACATGGATTTGACAATTCTGGGGAATCAGTGTCAGCTGATTCAGTTCCATTCTGAATGCTGATTCAGTGAAAGCTTCGCGCAAGCTGCTGCAAAGGCACCGCTCTGCCCTTGGGCACGCCCTCCAGCATGACGTCGCCTTCGAATCCGTGCCTTGGATTAAGATGCCGCAAGTAAAGTAACAACAAAATAATATATATATATATATTAATGTATAAAATATCTATGTTCATGTACACATAATATTGTGATACATTGTAAATTTACTATGCCAATATTCTAAGTGAGTTTAATATCAATCACATTCAGAACATGTCTCGAATGTGGATGACGTTCATCCCATGAGGTCCCATGAGTGACCATGAGTTTCCATGTTGAGACCCAGCCTGGCTCTGATCACTGATCTATGGTCATTTGATGTCATTTGTAGATCCCATCGATCGACTCATGCTGTTCTTCAACAAGTGGCAAGTGTCAATGTAGCTAATCGAAAACAACTGGTTGAACTCAAGTTGACCTCTGCACCAGTCCCAGCTGCGGGTAAAACTCCTCGGCCGCCAAGCGGACCTGGCCGGGAATCTCATATGCTTGCCGAAGGGGGTCGAGGATGTCATGGACGACCCAATCCCTGAGATAACTTGAGAGAGGAGGGAGTGAATGAAACTCAGCCACCACGCAAGCTGGGGTGGGCTAATGGAGAGCGGCAAACAAAAACAACATAAAACAACTATATTTAGTGAATCAAGGGCAGCGCCACAGAAGCGCAAACAACAATTCACATGAGCATGTGCAAAGGCAGGACCACAAACCATACACAGCAAGCCACGCGAGCATGTGGAAGGGCAGTGCGGCAGCACCACAGAAACATACACAGTGTTGAAAAAACATGCAAACCGAACACCACACAGCATGTACAGCACGCCACACACACACAATTTGAGAGAGGAGAGGGTGACCTGATGAAGAAATGAGAGGCAGAAAACGCATGAGGAGGAGGTGGGATTTAATCCAGGCCCCTCCCAATGATCAAGTATGATCATGATTCATTGCAAGTCAGCGGCAAAAGCAAGGAGAACTCAGGTAGCTGAAGCGACCTTTCGTGAAATCAACAGAACCTCCTACTCCACGCAACATCTGTTTGCATGGAACCTCCCGTTGGCGGAAGAAGTCTTGGAGAGGCCAAGGGACGGACGTGACACCGCCTTCGCAGGGAGCACGCCGCCAGCCACTTCGGCACCAGGGACAGGTGTTTTGAGTCACAGGCGGGACGTTGTTGCGACCAACAAAGGCTACCTAAGGAACCCTAAGGTAGACAAAGGCTCCAAGCTTCACAACACCTTCATATACACCTGAAAAAATCCGTGTCACATGTTTCACACGATGTTTTGGATGGCTTAAGTCCACCCTCATCCTTGTCCCGTGTCGTCATTCTAAGACTCTACCTGGTACCTTCCCATCTTCGAAGCTATCCTTCCTTTGACTGGTGAATCCGACGGTAGGAAAGAAACGTGAAGAACCCCCCTGATAAGCCAGAAGCTATTAGTAACAAGGGCATCGCTACGAACGGAGCAAGAGGACGCTACGAACGTAGCTCCTCAACAAGAAGGGAACCGTGAAGAAACCCCCATCTTTTTTAATGAAACGGCTACCACCGAGATCTACACATGCGGCCTCTCCAAGGAAATCACTTCCAACGCCACGGAGAGATAGGAGACCTGGGTAGGTGGACATCGGTGGCATGGCATCTCAGTAGACACATGTGACACAAGACTGTTCATCTCTCATGCTCTTGTGTTTTCAGAAAACTGATTGCAAGTTCTATGAGGTTCTATGTGGATCTCAAGATTGGAGACATCGGAAAGAATGGGACCATGTGACCATATTTACAAAAAAAAATGAGATGGGATGGAACAGGGTGGAACCTTTGTACCATCCGTTCGGTACCGTTCGGACAGCATCGCCCGTTCGTCCACTTGGGTGTTCTGAGCTGCCCAAACGCTCAGAGAGATCTTTTAGCGTGTCATCCTGGAAACCACATGGCCAACCACATGGCCAACAGCAGGTCTAGGCAACTCGACTCTTCCTCACCTGGCTACCTTGAATCACCAAATAATAGCGATCTCTTGGCCTTCAACTGAATCAACATCATGCTAAGAGGAAAGGGACAACATGGACATAGCAAGGGCCATGTCCGGATCTATTTGCAGCTACAAGTCGAAAGAATTGCTGGTGCGGGACGGTGCGATGGCCATGTCTGAATCCATTTGCTGCTGCAAGTCGCAGAAGTGCTGCTCTTCTTTCGCGGTGCAATGCATGCTTTGGTTTTTTCAAGGCCATACCACCCACCACTGGTCCACCACTGTTTCAAACTCTGCGACATTGGCTTCAAAGGAATACTTCCCGTGAGACACCTTCTTATTCTCACCACAAGTCCTGTTCAATTACAGAGTGATTGAGGTTGTTTAAGAACAAGCTACAAGCAACACCACCCACCAGAGGTGGGTCATGGCCCTCCTTGTCCATCACTTGAAAAACCAAGTCAGCCCCAGGCATGTAGGGGCTGACAATGTGTTCCTCTCCGCAGCTTTGGTCACAGGTGGGCAGTAGCGTGAATGAAGAGTAGCCACGCTTGTCCATCAAACAGCACAGTGTACTGTGCTAGATTCTGATACTTTGTCTCCAACACGCACAAACACACATGCAAATGAGCAAGTGAGCGCATCAACCACAAAGCTGCAAGCTGGTGCGCACACACACACACAACGCGTATAGAAGCTTCTTTTCAATCCTCTCCTGATCTCTGGATTTTGCAAAGCCGTGGCTGCGCACAAAACTCCAACCCTCACAAGCAAACCCCTGCTCCGGCCTCATCCCACACAGGATCCAAGGTCTGTCGACGAACCTGGAGTGTCAAGAAGTGCAGCAAGGACACCATTAGGTGGAGGCCATCGCAAGTAGGCCATCGCTACGAACGTCACAAGAAGCTACTATATAGTAGCCAAAGGTTCATCTCAATTTCTACCAAGACTGATCGAGTCTGTTGTCAGCAGTGGAACAATCAGCAGTCTGCAGTTCCCACCATGCACTGCTATGCACATCAGGCCCAACTGCCTCTGTCTCGAACAGCGGCTCTGGGTGTTCTGCCAGGAAGCAAACGACATAAGGGTCCGACCTCAGTTGCACCGAATGTCATCAGGACCAGCCGAATGTCCTCACTCCCCCTCCCCAGGCGCTGAGCTTTGAGCAGGCCGTGCTCATCTCCTCGAGGCAAGTTGGAGGCACTGTGGATCAGCACCTGCTTTCGCTGATGGAGACACGCAGATCGTGAAAGCCTTTGTCCGAACGTTGGCGCAAGGAAGCAACTCCTCACAAGACCAAGGAGCAAGGACTGTTCCAAATGGAAAGGTGCTGGTTCCATGCAAGGTATTTGGCTATCTACAACTGGTGTTCAATTTTTCCTAGAGATCCCCAAAGGAGTGTCCTCTCTGGATGTGGCACCGATCCAGCTTTCTTGTTGAAAGGCGTAACATTTTTCTGCAAAAACGGGCAGCTGAAAAAACAGTTCTAGTGCAAAGCAAACCCTTTAACCCAGGCAACCTGCAGGTTGCTCAACCCGTTCGGCACATATCTCAATCATATGATGTGCTCGGCACACCCAGCTGCTTGGTTCACCAACGACGCACGTGCTCCCTGTCCGAGTCCCAACAAAAGCCTTGAAAAGAGCTGTGCCTTTGGTCAACAAGAATTGATCACATATGATTACCGTAGTATCTTTCATAAAGAGATCCAATATGTGACGTGTCAAAGGCTCTTGCTATGACTCTTAGCTTCAACAATGGTAAGGATTCAACGAAAACCATCAGTCACTTCGTGCCCCATCCAAGGCCTTGCCTTGAGACGTGCAACGTGCCGGGATGGTGAAGGCATGGGACTTCGTTGGATTGTTAAGTTTGGTTTATGTTTATATTATTGGATTATAGCTTCTCCGAGACTCTAATGATCCAAAGAACTAGACGTGCCCGTCGTGCCGTTTGTTATTGATCTTTGTAATGTTGATCCAGCGAATATACTTTCTGACTCGTTGTGTTTTTGCATGGGAGTAATACCTGACTTTGCAACAGCATTGTCTTGCGGACCCTGGAACTCGCGCGGAGTTGGCTCCAATTATGGTATTGCGCGCGCCTAGTGACATCTTTGTCAAGTGTGACCAACACCATGCATCTTTCAACCGCTCTCTTCAAGAAACACATCCCTCTTTGAATTAGCCGCATGTCTCAAATTGCCTTCCTGAGATGGTCTGAATGTAAAAGCATCATTCGATTCAGCTCAAAGGCAACTCGTACACCCAAGAACTGATAACACTGAGACGATATCTCAAATGAGGTGCCGCCAAAATCAATTGTTTAGGACTAGTGCAAAAGTGGATGTTTTGATCTTTTGGGGGGGCCCATCACTTTAATTCCATGGTTTTACATGCTAAAGATTCAGCATAGCTCTGGAAATCCATTCCTCACAGGCTCAAACATGGATGAAGGACTTCTTTTTTCAGTTGCTGTCAGAAGCTTCTGCTTCAGTGGTAGAATCGAATAATATTATATATATTATATTACTATATATATATATCTATAAACTTGTGTGCATGCAAAGATAGATATCTATATCTAGGTTCATGGGTCTTTCCCTTGGCCAGGGGTCTTCGTGTAACAAATGGTTATCGCTAAGTCCGCTAAGTTTATCGCAAAGGTTATCGCTAGGTATCGCTTCAGAACGCCTCCAAAACCTGGATTGGCTGGAAGATAGTTACAGGTTATAGGTTAGAGGCCTTGCTTTACATGGTTTGAGCACAGCTGCGCACTCTTTAGTGGTCTATATACTTGATACCGCGAATTTCGACCGTGACTCAAACCACCTTACGATATGTATATTATTACTCAAATTTTCAGGTTGCAATGTCTTGGATTGGAAGTAACCGTTTACCCACTTGCCAGTCAGTGGAGCGAAATGTGCGCAGAGCGCAGGACCAATGACGATACCACAAGGTCCTTTTGGTCACAAAAGAGCACCGATACATTATTGTGAAAAGCACATGATAGGGGCTCAGCATGTTTAGCTAGCCGTGAGATATCTACAAGGTTTGGTCCTACCAAGCTTTACACGACGCATTCGCATCCTTCGTCTCCTTTCATAGGCTCACATTGGCAGGTTCCATAGACCGTCATCATCTTGCGGGGCTTGTCTGGATTTTTCACACGCTTGTTGCACTTCATGCCAACCGTCTGCCTGATACAACTTCCAGCCACACGAGCGCTATGATCTTCGCTGGCAGTGCTCTCAAAGGTATCCAAGTGAGTCTGAGTCTGAGCAGGGCGCACTGCCACCATGAACTTGGCGCTAAGCAGGAACAGAACGCCCCACTGACACCAGCGCATTGCCGATATTGCAGAACACACAAGTAAATCACCAACAACGCTTTTGAACCAGCTGCAAACTGCTGCAACGAGTCCGTCTAGTGAATTGACAAAGCAACTTGAGCAATCAAAAGGGTTCTGATTTGATGCGCCTTTCTAATAAAACAATGTTTTCCACCACAAGTGTAACAATGGTTGCGTAACTAAGTTTTTTCTCTCTGTCTCTCTCTGGCAAACTTAACTGAACTTTGCTGCCAAAACGCATACTGTCTGCCCTATCAACAGGGATTGGTGCTCTTCCAACTTATCCTACAAGCTGTTCCTGGATTTCTCTACTCTGTTTTTTAAGGAAAACAAACAACTTCACTGAAAGCTGCAGCAAACTGTGCAATGGGACTGGGCAAACAACCACAAGAACTCACAGTCAAGAAAAAAGTAGTATTGCGTCATATTGCGTCCATATCAGCTAAAACTGCTACTGTCAGATGAGAATCAAAGCTCAAGCAGTCCTAGCCTTCCTTCCATCCTCATTCTCTGCTCTCATTGTACTCGTTTTACTGCAAAGACTCAGCATGTTTAGCTAGCCGTGAGAGTTCTACAAGGTTTGGTCCTACCAAGCTTTACACGACGCATTCGCATCCTTCGTCTCCTTTCATAGGCTCACATTGGCAGGTTCCATAGACCGTCATCATCTTGCGGGGCTTGTCTGGATTTTTCACACGCTTGTTGCACTTCATGCCAACCGTCTGCCTGATACAACTTCCAGCCACACGAGCGCTATGATCTTCGCTGGCAGTGCTCTCAAAGGTATCCAAGTGAGTCTGAGTCTGAGCAGGGCGCACTGCCACCATGAACTTGGCGCTAAGCAGGAACAGAACGCCCCACTGACACCAGCGCATTGCCGATATTGCAGAACACAAAAGTAAATCACCAACAACGCTGTTGAACCAGCTGCAAACTGCTGCAACGAGTCCGTCTAGTGAAATGACAAAGCAACTTGAGCAATCAAAAGGGTTCTGATTTGATGCGCTTTTGCAATAAAACAATGCTTTCCACCACAAGTGCAACAATGGTTGCGCAACTAAGTTCTGCGCTGAGCAAACTTGAACTCCCACCTACCCTATCACACCTGCTTCATTTCCTCCAAACCTGCCGACAAATATCTATGAACTGCTCCTCTTCTGTGAGGGCAACTCGCACTTCACTGCAGTTAACAGGCTGTGGGCGGCCGGTTTTGGCAAAAGGAGCAATCTGACGACAAGACCTTTTCTGGCAAGCTGCAAAAGATACAAAAGCTATACGAATGGGCAAACAACCAAAAGAACGGACTTAGGAGCTTTGGCATGCTTCAATTGTGTGGCCTTTGCTGCTGAACAGGCGAGGGAGAGTTTTGCCTTTATCATCCCTTAAAGCCCGTTCAGGGTGAAACGGTGCTACATCGAGAAACCTTTGCTCTGCGACACCAAAAGAAAACGGTTCACTTTCTGTGCCATGCAGTGGACAACCGGGACAACTGGAAGCTGCAAATGGTCTGAGCCAACAACTAAAAGCATATAAAAACACTTTTTAAAGATCCAGCAACATGTGAAGTAGTCCAAAGATCAACTTCAAAGTCCCAACATCCGCATCAGAGCATCAGAGCATCAGGCGAAATGGACTTCTAAGTCGCTCAGAAGGTGGTTCCTGGCTGTGTAAAAATCTGAGCATCATGGTGTTGAGGCTTCATGCTTTTCACACCACCGATACTCTGCAATCAAGCTTTGACAACGACAGTTAGAATGCTCTCTGTTTCTTTGGTTCATTGCCCTTGTGATCCCGTTGCCCAGCAGGAGCCCAAAAACTTTGATGCGGAAACGACACCTGTCACTGTAGAGTTACACTGTAGAGTTTGGGGTTCAACATCTGCTGCACCATAAATCGCATAAATTCTCACAATGTTTCACACATTTCAGTCCACACTTTGCAAGTTCTCGAGGTTCACCAACTCCTGAGCTGGTACCAGAGTCCCACCAGTGAGTCATGAGTCACGCTTTGACTGCTCTGAGCCTGTCCCAACCGGTCCCAACCGGCCCATACTGGGCCTGCCGGGCAGGTGTTCGCCTTGATGCAAAACACACACTGAAGCAGCGACCCCGAAGCCGATTGGGAGACCAACACTCCATGGACTCGGAAAGACCTGACTTAGTCCAGGGAGTGTTGCGTCTAAGTTGAATCCTAATTCCAAATTGGATCTAATTGGAATGGCCTGCAAAACCTAACAGGAATGGCCTCCAACCTAGAAGCGATGGCCTCCAAAGGCCAAATACATCCCAAAGCAGCAAGATCCCATCTTATCTAACTCAAACAGCAAGCATGTTTTTGACAAACCTCTAGCAACTCACGGTGCATCAATCATGTTTTGCAGTCTGATCCTGTTTCGGGTGGTCAGGCCAAACTGCTGCCATACATGGTCATGGTCGGCCCGACCGTGGCGTCTCGCCTTCTCAGCTCTCCGCCGCAGAGGGCCTTGGCCCAAGTCACGGGTGGATTGAAGCGGATGTGTTCTTCAGGAAGTCGTGCGGTGATAAACACAACGAAGTTGCAGCTGTGATACACATGTCTGGAAGACCCTCAAAGTCTTGAAGTCACCACTTGAGGTTAGGAAATATTTTAATGGTGATGGATGGTCCATATATGTCCATATGGCATCATATGATCATATGGCTCAAAGCTTGTGGGTCTGATTCAGCTTCCTGACAGGTGGTGGGATGTGCTTCAATGGATGAAAGGTGAAGGTCCTCTGCAAGGTCCAAGCGCCAACATGATCTGCACTGATGAGGCTTTCAGGTATCCCCTTAAGGTAGATTTGATGTGAGCTACATACAGTGAATGGGGCCATCTGCCATCCTGAACGACATCAAAAGAGGGTCCTTCAAAGAATCTCTTAAAAAAAACAATCTTAGAAGATCAATGGAACTGGTATGGTATGTTTCTCTTTCCATTTTTTTTGCGTGTCTATTACAGGGCCTTTGTCAATCAAACGTATCGGCAAAGAACATGACTTAGTGCACTCTCTTCAGCTAAGGGCTTCACTTGTCACTGGCACATCCTGGATGTGGCAGTGCTGTTAATGGGTGTCATGCAACTGATGGCCCAAAGCAGAAAGAGTCAGGTTGATGTTGTCCAGAATAAGTTTGAAGACGTCTCTGCCTCAGACTTTGTTCAGGTCTTCAGTTAATATCATAGTCTAATAGACTGTAGACTGTAGACACTGTAACTAGGCCGTTGCCACTAGGCCGTTTGTACGTCCAACAGACCACCCAAAAGAAGTACATTTATGCCCATGGGCCCATGGGTGGAGAATATGTCAATCAAGATATGGAGAGATGTCAATCACGTACTGGTTATGTTTGATTATCAAGTTCATGCAACAAAAGAATTGTACCTTCATCATTACCATGAAGCCGTCATCAGCAAAACAAAGAACCATGTGCTGTGAGTGCTTTTCAGCCGTTGCATGCCACTGCCGGAGTTGAAGCTGCCTCCGAGAGCAGTCGATCGATCACCAAAGAGAGATTCTCGGTGTGCTCGCCTCAGCTTCACAGCAAGCAGAATTTAACAAATCCATTGTAAAAGCAGGGCTACCAAAGGCTACCGGAAATCTCATGAAGAATTGGTGTCCTGTTCTGTAGATTTCTTTGGGTGGCAGTTGGACAATCTTCTGAGCTTCCCCAGCGGCGGCTTTGCCGGCTCTTCATGGTCCAGGGGCCCGAGGGGGAATCCTCAGGAACAGCAGGGAGGGCAGCTGTTTCGAGTGCTTCAACAACTGAATGAATGTTTTGAAGTCAACGTGATTTAGCTCTGGGTTGGGGGGATCAAATCCAAACACGAATTGACTAGTGACAGCTGCGACGCAGTTTGAGATTTCTTGCAAGACGCCTGTGCCCGCACAAAAACTGTGCCAACATAAACATAAACTCTGAGCTGCTATAGGCTAGGCGGCTAGGTCTTCATGCAAGTCTTTTCGATGTCTGCACTCACTGACCCTTGCCCCGTGCTGCCGAAGGCGCCTCTCTAGAGTTGGCAAGCTCAGCAAGCTCCTGAAGGCACACTTCGGATGCAAATTGGGCGGAAGGACATCATTTGGCTAGAAATCAATGGAGGACATCATTTGGATAGAAGGACTTCAAGATTTCGATCCAAATGATGTCCTCCATTCCACCATATTCCGCCTGCGCTTATCCCCTGAACGAAAAGCCACCGCACTATGCCCTGGCACTGCCCAACTAATGCCCTTCTCGCACTGCCCTTCTGCCACTCTTGAGGCAGCAGCGTCCTCTTCAAGGTGCACCTCATGACTATGGAAGTACTGCAAGAACTCATCGTACTCAATCATCCCATCCCCGTTGGTATCTGCCTCGTCGCAGGCTGATAAACATTTGCCTTGTGAGACCACCCACCGGAACAACCGGAGACCGAAGGAGACTGCAGGAGACCGCAGGAGACCGAAGGAGACCAAAGGAGACCGAAGGAGACCGGAGCTGTTGTGGATCTAGAATAATCTGGGATGGGTATAGTCTCTCCTGTTGTCTCGAGCTTGATTACAGTACAAGCAAAGGATAGCACAAACTTCTCTCAAGGCCTGCAATTCTTGACATCGCTTGTGTTGAGTAATGCCACCATCACAACACAACCAACTAGGACGTGTTGCCACACGTGTGATGAGGCTTTATTCCTTTCCAAATGTTTCAAGTGCTACCTGAAGCTGCCAAGTGGCCAATTTAACCTGGAAAAAGGGAGAAAGGATTAGGATGACAGCTGTTGGTGACACAGTGAGAATATTGATGCTGGACCCGGTACACGATCTGTGTCGCACCACTTTAATCGTAGTCCGTTCGCCTCTCTGATGAGATCTTGTGCATCTGTGCCCTCGAACTGTTCGCCCAGAATGCCTCTAGTTGGCAGGCCGGTTGTAACTGGCCAGGCAGAAGAACTGATGCTATTCATGGCAAGTGGATCCTGTTTTGCTCAGTGGTCATTGCCTGCAAAGCCAAATCAAATCAAACCAGTATATTGCGAGGAATGAAGCATAGTAGAGTCAACAAACTTGTTGACTGAGCCGGAGAGGACTACTTGAAAGTAGCAGAGCCGGCAAGGTTGTTCGCGCTGTTGCTAAAGCTGGCTGACGTATCTCGCCGACATACTTATCTTTGTCCCGTGGAGATCTGCTGTAGACGTGGTGGTGCCTGGTACAGTTTGGGTTCCGATTGGTAAACTTGCAACGAACAGCAACTCCTGACACGAAATCCTCGAATCACGGACACCGTGCCTTGCAAGTCTTCCGCCTCAGACGGGGCACGTGGACTGAGCACGGGGAGCAGCCGTGAGCCGTGGGCAAAAAATGAATGTTTCTTGCAGCCAATCCTTCGGCCAGGTTCAGCAATCCAGTTCTAATGTTTTGAGGCCGTGATCCGCCCAAAACGGCCTAGCCATGCACGAAAGAATCAATTTTTGACACAAAAGCTGGGTTCGATCACTGTGATCTTCCCGCAGTTGTCCACATCGAACTTTCGGAAGGTCCTCCGAAGCACGTCCTGCGATGAGAATGGGCAAACCCATGAGTCAAACCCACTGACAACATCAATTGCCCCTAGTCACCTGCGCCGTATGTGTTCATGTCGCGCCGTAAGTGCACGCCGCGTGTTGTTTTCTGGATGGTTTGCAGTCTAGGCAATGAACCCATCGGGGCAATGAAGAGAGCTATTCATGCTCATCGTCAGTTGCTGAATCTACAAATCTCCCATGGGCTCAGGTTTGGCCATTCTCAAAAGGATCCCAAATGATAGGAATTGCATGGAATTTCTCAATGTTCCTTTCTCTCGAAGTTCCCAAACATCACCCTTCAGCTCGAACCATCCCACTCGCACCTCGTGAACCTTGATGCGGCCCTGGGCGGAGGCGAGAAGTGTGGGGATGTGATGGCCTCCAAAGCTACAAACGCCATTTGGCCTTTTCCAGAGCGACTGCCCAAGCGACAGAGAGGATTTTCTCGGATCCTAGAGCCTTAGCCTCATCTACTAGGAACAAGTGCATCGCTTCTAGTAACAAGTGCCCTACTAGTAGTAACAAGAAGCTATTAGAATTAAATTAAACTTAAATTATATAATAGCAAACATTGTTACTACTAGCAAGGCACCTGTTACTAGTAGCGTGACACCTGTTACTACTAGCTTAGAGCCTTAGCCTCATTGGTGATCCAGTTCTCCCAGTTCTTCGGATCCACTGGGACACGTCGGAAAGGCGGTCAAGAAGAGCACAGCATGAGCAGCAGCATCGAACTAGGCTAGGTCAGTTGAAGATCGAAGGTTTGCTCAAACTCAAACCTTGAACAGCTTCGACAAAGCACAAAGCACAAAGACTTACATGAAGCTTGATGGAGTTTGCTTTCTCTCAGTCCGTATGCACATTCCGGTTGTCTGCTGGCCTGCATGGCAGCTGCCAGAAACTCGCTGTATGCAATGACATCCTCAGTCCAAACAGGAGCATCAGCAAGGACCATTGATGAGAGTTGCGTCTTTGACCCACAAACATGATTTAACAGGACCATCAGCCAAGCATCGTCGTGGTCCGTGTCCATGCTTCTGAACATGGCCTCACAGACTAAAAAACGAAAAACACGGAGGCCACAGGGTCAAACCTCCACGACTTTTGTGAGCCTCAGCTAGAATAATAAGAATACTTGGTTCATTGCACAGGAGCGCTGTCGAGAACCCTTGAACCGGGGCCACTCCGGAGGAATCCCAACGCCGCTCGCGGCCGCTCGAAAGGTCTCCGCGGTTCCGAAACCACCTTTTGCAACACCCCTAACCAGATTCCCCTCTAGAGCCTCTATCTCCAACATTCCAGGACATAACATGCGTGCTACCGTAGCGTCCTCAATCCAGACACTGAAGCTAGTGGCCCCACACCGGCAAAAAAAAAGAGGCAGGCACCTCGGCCTCGAAAGAATCGATGTGATAGTACTTCTCCAGGATTTCTTTCATCTGCAGAGGCGTGTGCTGCGTTCCACTGGAGCGTTCTGTGTTGTGTGTTGGACTTGGAGATGGGCAACAGGCTTGCGGCTAGGCAAGGCTTGTGCAACAGGCAGAAACTGCCCCTACACATCTTGCAATCAGGGCGACTGATGCGTGTCTGTCCTGTTCCAATAGTGTTTGTAACACAAGGAGGAGAAAACAAACAATCAGTCCTACCACACACCATTATGAGTTCTGGTCTTCGAGGATTCAGTTTCCCGTGTATGCCAAGCAAACTACAAGGATTACGTGGAGCCATCCAGTGGAGGACAACTATGCACTCCCATCCCGGGTGCGCTTTGGCCCTCCATTCGAAGGATGTATGCAAATGTCCTGTAAGGCGGACAGGGCCTGGAAATGCGTGATGGTTCCAGTATTCTCTGTATCAAAGGCCAGGAACTCATTCCGCAACTGTGCCCGGTCCTGCAACATCCAAGCCACAACCAGGAAAGCAATCGCCAAGCTGGAAGATAACGTTCAAGAAAAAAAAACAATGGAAGCCAACCAACACTAGTTAGTTGTAGTGCAGCTGGCAGTGGCTGCTTGGAGAAATATAGAAGAGACCATTCAGACTCCCTAAGCAAATTGGACATAGTATATGATGCAATATGTCAACCACCTTGTGTGGCTGAATATCAAGATATGGTGACGAAACTCAAGATCATCACCTTTCCTATCCTTTTCTAGACAGGGCTAGGCTAACTTGTCCAAACAACCGTGTCTTCAACTACAAGTACCCACACTCCATCTTGAGTCTTGAGTTTGGTTGGAATTTGTCAGAGTCACGAGCCCGCCCTTCCGTCCCAACGGCACTCACTCCACCCCACCACAGACTCCCACAGCGGCCAGTCCACAAGATGTTTGACACGGCTGCCGCACCTCTGCGGACAATGACCAGGCCATCATGGAGAGCACGGCGCGGCGGAAGGCCGTGGCCTTGGCAAACTTCAGGAGGCTCGTCTTGATGTCATCGTCCAGCGTGGGCGACTGAGGCGGTCCGGTTGGCCAACTGAGGTCTTGGAGTTCAAGAAAGTCAAATGTTCAAGATAAAGAGGAAGACGAGAAGGTAAGGGCTCCTTTAAAGGGGGGCCGCGTTCAAGGAGCCTCACCTTCAAATGTCAGTTTTAATATTCTGACCCTCAACCAGCATCATTTGAGCATGTGTGATGACTTGGTGACTTGGTGATCGGTGAGCTCAGCTAGGTGCCTCAGCGTTGCCTCCGAGGCTTTTCACCCAGGGATGCTCAAGTGCGCCTGCCAAGTCGTCCAAGCTGTGGATCGTTTGGGCACGGGGACCGGATTTCGTTGTGGGTGTCGTTCGTCTCGGCACCGTTTAACTGCTGGGGCCACTGTGAATATAAGGTGTTTTTTTCGGTTCAAGGGCTGAACCGAATTGTTTCGTCTCACTTGGTGTGCAGGATTGCTTCCCCAGAACAGAATACGCTGAAGATGCATCTTGTATTTTGAGTCCGGGCAAGAAGAATCTCCTTGAAAACGCATCTCAACATCCATCAAGATCCATCTTGACCATCTTGCTCCCCTTCTGGCCAAGATTATTTGCACCAGGCAGTCTTGTCAGGAATTGGCAGGAGCAGGCAGGAGTATGTTGGGTCACCCGAAGCGAGGTTTTTGTGGTATATCACCCCTGACATCTTATCACCCTGACCTCTGAAGTAAGTTACAAAAATGAAGAAAAACAAACTAATTGTGACAAACTAGGATTCTCATGGAGCCTCGACATCTGCAGCATCCTACCTGTCCGCTTGCGGGCTTAAGGCTTAATCCGAAACCAGCGACGCGTCACAACGGGCCTTGAGCATCTAGTCGGTCGTTTGGATTCACCACAAGCAAGGCCTTGACAGGCGAGGCCAAACCAAGGGATGGCCCGACTGCCAACCAGTCCCAATCACCAGAGTCTATGGACAATTGGAACTAGGAAGATACAAAAAGATACAAAATCAGACAGACCCGGATTCCCAGTGAGCATACAAATGCCAGGCGCTGGGCGTGCCTTCACGAAGTCTTGCGCGTGGGTCGAAAGACGCTTGAACTTGGAGGACCAGTGAACTTTCCCTGCCCTGGCGGAAGTGAGCCGCAAAAAGCCTGATTAGACAGCTAGCCATCCAAACGTAAAGGCGACATATACATCTGTGGAGTCCATGACATAAGCTACAACTACGATCGGCGCCCGTCTGACAAAGGCGTCTGGCCTGATCTTGGCAAGCACCTCTTTGTCAGGCCCATGGAAAGGTGGGCTCCTCGTAGGCAAGGTCAGGCCGTGGATTATTGAAGGGCGCCTCCTTCCTATGGCACCTGGACAAACTGCATAAGCCAGTGGTATCACTCAACGCTAATTGCAATGATCATCAAACGGCCAGCACCAGTTCCAATTTACAATTACACACACATTTCTGACTATGCCTATGCACGGTAAGACTTTGAGATCATATGCTCTTGGTCTGGTGCCCATGGGATAGCACTGAAGGGATGCTCAAGAGCGACAAACAAACAGAAGTTCCTCGGATGTATCTTACACAGTTGTGACTGAAGAACATGACGAAGCTACCCTCATTGGCAGGAGCTCCAACTCCATCCCCCAAACCTACGAGATCCATCTGACCACATTGATTGGACCGTGTCATCCGTGCCATCCGTCGGATCACAACGTGTCCCTGTGAGGAGCATGTAGCTGATCACGCCCAAGGACCAAAGGTCCGCTTTCAGGGTATAGGAGTTCCCAAGGACCTCCACGAAAAAGAACGCTGACTCAATCTGCTGAGAGGAACTGAGTGCTGAGAGGAACTGAGTGCTGAGTTGCCTTTCCAGAGTCAATTCACCAGAGCTAGGACTAGACGTTGATGACATTACATTGAAAAAGAGAAAAACCCACACATTTAGAAACTTGAGTTCATCGGTCTCTGTTTCCACAATTTGTTCGGATGCACAGGGTTGATATGCCCAAACTGCCTCTGGCGCTACGTAATGAGTCGAGCCACAGGCCTTGCAAATCAAGCGCAAGCTCTTTGTGCCAGGCGGACATTTGAAGTTTCTGAGGTGATTTAGTTTTTTCAAGAGAAAGGTCATTCACGGGATTGTGCATGCACAGCACATGGTAGGAGCTCCCGCAAGGGATATGCAGGATGGCGACAAATGATATGTGAACTTGAAGCCATGGACAGCTGAACAATGATGATAATGATAAGTACTGCACTGTAATGAATGGCTGAGAAATCCTGTCCAGTCGGCTGTTCTTGAACTCTAGATCCACCACTTCATCTCATGGGCGTTCTAAAACAAACAAGTAATCATATTGCAAATCGCCAGTCTAATGTATATACAGTAGATTCCTTAAAAGGACACTGATACCTTTCACGATCTGGCCAAGCAAATCTTCACACGCGGTTCTTTGTTCGCTTCTTCCATTCCAAAGAAAACACACATCATGGTTCTATGCACATCGATCAATTTGGGATCCAGAAATCCCATGCTGAATCAAGTTATCTGCATCTGAATCAAAAACCGCTTATGACTCCTCTAAACCATGTGTGCAAAGTGCCCCGCCTGTGTCATGTTTCGGCTCCGATCCCAGAATTTGGCGAAACCAAAATCGATCAACTTCAAATGGTCGTTGTCCTGAATTTCACAAAATGCAGGCTCATTCGAACCTATCACATTTATTCAAATGACAGTTCACACATTGGTAGAGGCCCTGGCTCATTGTGGGAGGCACTGGCGGCGCTGGCTCCCAAAATCGTTGGGTATCACAGTCGATTATATAAAAAGTACAATTTTTGTATGATGCCACAAATCTTTACATGGTGATCCACTCGTCTGACGAGCAACCAATCCCTGCAATGTCAATTTCGATGTTTGTTCACGAATCATGAACCTGCTAGCTGTTTGACCTAAATGCATCTAATCTAATGCCAAGACATCTGTTTACCATGTTGTTGTGGCTTCTTTGAGAGGGACCTCATACAAAAAAGGACAGACCAAATGGATGGTTGTCCGCCGTTCAACGTCCTGTCGCTCGTACAAAAAGTTCTCCAGCTTCAAGTCGCGGTGAGCGATCTGGTGCGAATGGAGATAGGCCACCTCAAAGGCCATCGCCCCCCCCGACGGCCCGCTCGCGACTGAGCGTCCAGTCGAACGACGCGACGGAGATCAGTTCCGTTTTAGGGGTTTTGTGTTACCATGGTCTAGAGTTTAGGGGTTTGCATTTCAGTTTTCCCAATGATGTGGGAAAGCGCACTGCACACTCCTTTAACAAAACGGCAATAGCACGGCAGGAACGCGTGCAGCCTTTCTTGGGGAGAAACAAGCAATCATATACTTGTCAGCTGTCACGGTTCACTTCCAACACGCTCTCAACCCAGAAGCAAAGGCAACCTCTGAATCCAAACCCAACAAATTTCTGAAATGACCTGGTAATATTTCAAACGGTTGTGCTCACTAAATCCTTTCAAAGCTGGCTTCGTCATTTCGATAGCGTTCTTATTGTAGGCCGTCTAAAGAAAGTGACCGTGATGTCTACTGAGGATACAGGTCCAGTATAACTGGTGTCCAAGTAAATCACTGGCCGGATGCGATCCAATTGAAAAAGGAAGAACGGAAGGACAGGAAGAAAAGAAGGGAGACTGTAACGGTCGAACCTTGAAACTTGAAAGAACATAGAAAACACACACAATAACATTCACCAACTGGAGCTCAAATGACAGGTATTTCCAACAAAACGGTGAGTGAGGCAGCATTCCAAGGCTCCCACAGCCAACAGCATTTGCTTGGCCGTCTTTGCAGCCATCTCCTACAACAAGTGAAACATCTCTTGTCAATAACGAGTCCCAAATCATCGCTATAAGTCTTTCAGTCAAAAAGAGGTCCTCGATATCTAGCGGCTAGCACTGTCAATGATCTGTAGAGCCGTTTTCAGCCTCAAAGTATTGAATCTAGCGATCTCGATGAGCTCCTCTTTGTACACCCGGTGCTGGAACAATCGATCGTACAACTCACCACCCGCCATGTACTCCATGACCAAGTGGATCTCCTGTGGAGCCAGAACCGGTGCTGTATACACCTCCCACCCGGGAGGGAAAGGAGATTGGTTGAATATGGCTGAACATTGAATGACATCAGGCCCAAGACGTTTAGGGCGTTGTAACTGTGTGCAAACATGAGTGTAGGGCGTTGTAACTCATGTTCCGTTTCAAGCCATCCGTAGCTGGCCTCATGTTTGTTTCATACAAAACACTTGTACACAGTACAGTAAAACAACCACTATCCAAAATTCATTCAACGGAGCTAGAAAACTGCAACCCCATTCCCAGCAAGTAAGTATGATACTTCATTAATAGTCTCAGCTCCAAGCATCTGCACGCCGATCTCGACTCAATGACTAGGGCAGGATGACTCAATCAGGTCACAAGACACCTTCTGGATGGATCCTACTCTCGCTACTCTACTCCCAAACCTGGCCTGCTCATCCTCATAAACCATCATCAAGCGGGCCACATGGGGATGGTCAAGGGTCAAGTAGATCTCCACCTGCCGTGATCTAGTCTTGATAGCAAACTGCTAAGCTATATATGTTTTTTCCATGGCGATGGCCTCCAACCTAATAGCGATGGCCTCCAACCTAATAGCGATAAAACTGAATATATATATATATATATACACTGTATATAGCTGCAAAATCTTTCAGATCAGCATTGACTTGAACAGTCAGGATGGCACAGCTTCACGGGCCTATTGATTCGTCCACTTTCATCATGCAGCACTACAGTCACTATGGCCCTATCTACTACTCACCAGGCTCTTGCAGTTCCCCTGCATCCCTCCCTTGCAACAATCTCTTGAGAGACTTTAATGGTTGCAATGATGGAAGGCGTGTACTATCAGGGGTGGAACTCCATGCCCAGGTCTAGAACATACCTTCCTTGCTACTCTCTGAGTTGCAGCTGCTCTGATAAAGTCCAGCAGTATCAGCAAACATGCGGGAGTAGCGTCTTATTGTTGTAACACCAAATGCAACAGGATGGCAGTGCTGAGTGCCCCAGCTACCAGTTCCCGCACCAAGCACTGCTGGGACATCAGGATCGATTTTCCAGGCCAAATCAACCACGCACAGTGTTCAGGAAAGAGCGGATGTCTTGTGGCCGCCTCTCAAAAAGCTCTTGCAATCTCTGCTGCACCCTTCTGACCTCCTCGTCCTCCTCTGGTTTCCAGGGCTCCCAGGCACTCACCTCCAGCAAATTGTCACTGCTTTCGGTATCAATCAGGCCACCTTTGCACGTGATGTACAACATCGATGACCTAAAAAATCGATCTCCCAGCTTCTCCGATTCATAGGATAAATCCTTTCTAAGTCCTTGACATGCATGGCCGTTTGGGAACTCTCTCTCATGAATAATCGAAGGATCTTTTTCTGTAAAGAACTCGTCAAACAGCCAGATGACACGGCCAGCGTGGCTTAGCTTCGGCTCATCATGCCACGTGCATTCTGTTGGGTCAACTTGTTCAAGAAGCGTTGAAACGACCTTTTTGGCCTTCTCGGGGTGCGCAGTCGTGTAGAAACCCAATGGGCACAAGCATTGATCTTGTTGTGCCAGCACATACCGTATTAACGGGGTTGCAAATGGTCGCACCTGAACCTCATCTGCTCCTGGCCGCCAATCGTACATCAGGGTGGTGTACTTCAGGTCCAAAAGAATGAGATACTTGCTTGGTGCTTGTTGGTCGTAGACTTCCGGTGATACCTCAGAACCATTTCGGCCGGTCTCTGCCAAAGTCTCTGTTCCAAAGTAACAGGGGTTGTTTCGAACCGATTCGGAGCCGAACTTTCGGAACCGAAACTTAGCACGTGTCAAGAACAGAAAGGTTCATGAACTGAATGTAAACAACCGTTAGTTTTCGAAACACAACCAACCAAACCGAAAAGAAAAACGAACCGTTCCGCCCTGTTCCGGGGCCAATCAGCACAGCGATCTGTAACGCTCTTCTCAGACGGTCCAGAGTCTTAGAGTTTCAGAAAAGCTCTTACATGACAGCCTTGAGTCCTTGAGTTCTATCGAAAGCCCCAGTATTGACATGGAACGAACAGTTTTGGTGAGTGAGCCGAACCATAATTTGTAAGCATATTGAAACATGGCTTTCCTTCAATTCCTTTTCGTTGCTTTTCTGTCCAATATGCTGCATGCTTTTTAGACAGAATGGAAAAAGCAGATTATTCACAAACAGCATCAAACAGCTTTCCTTTCCTGCCCTTTCCTTGCCTAGCTTTGCTTTTGTTTGCTATGAATCTATGAATGTCATGTCATGTCTTGTTTTGTCTTACCTTGCCTGTTTTATCTTTTCCTTTTCCTTTCTTTGCCTCACTGTGTAAGTGTAACTCTTATGCCGCGTGCCTCAAAGAACCGACACAAATCGTGAGCTGAACCGAAAATCCACGAAACAATTCCGCAACCGAGCCGAACCGAGTCGAAGATTTAATTAAACCTTCAAACCGATTCCAACCGAACAGAAACCTTGCTGAAGTAAGACGTGAGCGCTCCCAACTTTCGGAGGCACTTCGCCACTCGCTTCGGCGTTCCGCTTCGGCGTCGTCAAACTGACGGCTGCATCGCGCGCACCGTGCTTTGTCCAGACAAGAATTCCCCACACAAACACCTCCGCCGATGCACAGCCACATCGAGCCGAGCTTGATTGCACCACTCGCACTTTGCCATCCAAGCCTTAAGCCTTATCAAATGTTCCACAGTCTCGAGCAACTATCACCTGTTCGAGTGCAGCCCGGACCAGACCAAATGTCTCTGGGATCAGCCGATGAACGTGTTCGGCTGGTGCCGCTGCGTGCCGAATCAGGAATTGAACTTTCCCGGAACTATAACGACCTTTTTTGCAGCTAAATAGTAAGAAGGATTTGTTCTGCAAACAGCAGAATGTCCAACCAAAAAGGAATTCAGGAGTTCCTTTTTTTGGGAGATTGCGCGGTTGGCCCACTAATTCCTTGCTTGCATCTGCACTAGAACTCATGGTCAAAACTACAATCAACACAGTACTATCCTTAGGCCTTAGGCCACCCCCAGCACTGTCGCGGTGTCGACAGCAGTGTTGACATAGGTTGACATGTGCTGACCACAAATGCCACATCAGATTTGCGTCAGCTTTATCAGGCCCATGCTTTGTCAGCTTAAGTCGGGCGATGTGTAAAGTGGTGGAAACTCCTAGGTCCTACGATTTCCGTCCTGCATCATGCCATCCAGTTTAAACACTGCGCAGTGCCTGTCCTGTGAAAAATCCAAAATGCATGAAGGATCTGTCCAAACCAATATGGGTCCTCCAAGTGGTAGTCAATCTGGATCTTTGGGTTTCATCCTGTAGGGGTTGGCTAAAGCATGCTACAGCAACACTATGGTGGCCTTGTCAGGCGAAATCCTAATCGATTTGGCAACTCCATCTGGCACACCCTGGCCCCTGGGTTTGAAGGGACATCTCACACTCGAGTGAGCAATAGATCACCATCAAATTCATTCCTAGGTCCTTTCCAATTTCTCCACTCAAAACGACTCAAGACTCACAGTATCACTTCACTGACCCCCTTTTCAAGAAGCAGCAGCATCTTGATACGTGAGCCCTGACGTGTAGGATCTAGTTGCGCTCCTCTTTTGCTTGGGGAGCTGCCTCGAACTTCTGCAGAGACGGTCTTCGTCCCACAGGGCCCAGGATCCCTGGCGCCTGGCCAGGCCTACGCGCAGAAAACAGGGGCTGAGAGAATTGGCCAAGGTCATTCAAGATGTTTCAAGATGTCTCGTCCTTTTCGCCCCTGTGCTTTCAGCGAGCCATCAAAGCGGGCACTCAACACTCCGGTCACTGGAAGACACACATACACACACATACACATATAGGCTCGAATCCCGGTACAAGGAAATTCTGTGTTTTGGCTGAGAGAAGCCTGCTTTGCCCCCCTTTGAGCCAGCTATATAGCCATGTTGACACTTGATCGATCAAGAATCCTTCTCTTTTGATAGGAAGACCCTGAAGGGCTTCATTGAAATGGAGTGGTCCAGAAATTCGATCAGCAACTGATTAGCAGTAATTCAGTCTGGGATGCAGTCCATGTTAATGCTCACTATGATGTAAATTCCCAAGTGATACTTCGCAGGAACTCATTATATCACCGAGACTCTCCAACCCCCCCTCATCATTATTTTTGGGAGAGATTGCAAACATACTATACCTGCACCCTCAATGCTTTTCCAGCTTTCACCTTGCAGAGTGCCGATGCGCTAAGAACGATTGAATCCTTCTGAATCACTCTACCAGTGCCACGTCTTTGGTTGCCTTGGACAAGTGGGCCATCGGCTGACCGATGCTGACGGCTGGACCAAGCTTCCCTGCCATGGACTTCCATGTCCAAAAAGTCGTTTAAGTGGTTCATGGGGAAAGGTCCTTTCGATATCCCGTAGAGGTTGCAATGCTGCTTCTGGGAGCTTTTCGCCGTGCCTCTATTTTGTCTTGGCCTACAAAGACACTAGGCTGTCAGCAGCATTGAACCAAAGCGAGTGCGTAGAATCACCTCTCACAATCCTGTCAAGGTGGCTTGTACCCCGATCTCGCAATCTTCAACACCCATCAAATTGAAGCTGCCGCCACCGGCAGTTTCACCAAAGGATTTGAAGCCCTGGTCTGCTATTGCAATGAATCTGCTGGATGAATTCCCATGGGGTTGGAGAATCAGTCCTCCAGTAGCAGGCCTTGAGAATTCCTTTTCTTTTATCCTGAGTCTATGTCTAAGGTATCTGTAAGGCCTGTCTACAAAGAAGCAAGATCTTGCGTGCCAAAAAGGGTTTGATCTTGGCACTCCGACCGATCTTGCCCGAATACCAACCAGCGAACCACATCGAACAACCCCCACCAGGCCTGGCGGGTCGTCTCGCGACACCGACATGAGTCATCGAACGCGGGTCGTCTCAGCTCCAAAAGAACGGTTTCTACCGAAGCACCAGGCCCTGCACCGCTGACAGTCTGTCAGTT